TGCAACTTCTAAAAATAACCTAGCGATACACTATAACCTCTATAAAGTGTATGCATTATTGCTGGGTTACACGATCCATTCAAGGATACATACAGAGTGTCCCGCGAAACATGAGAGTTGGTGAATAGTAAAACATGTCTTCTTCCATATTTTGTTAAGTTATTTGATACCAAAGAGAATAATAAACAATATCATATAGCAGTCATATTATAGAAAAAAAAATTCAAAGTAAAATATATTTGAGTAAAAGATTTGTTTAACGAATTAAACTGCGAAAAGTCTTTAATATCTATAAATACAGTTAATGGAAGAAGACATTCTAAACTATTCACCAACTGTCATGTTTCGTGAGACACCCTGTACATGAACAAGAAAAGTAATTAAAAATTAAAATTATTAAAATCATGATAAATCAATGAAAGCTACAATTAATACAATGTTTGTGAATCAAAAGAATATCAGAATATATTAATTTTGTCCATTCTCATCATGAAACATAAGACAAACGCATTTTAAGAGTATTGTGACAAAAGCCAGTGAGCCCCCTGACCCTCTTAAACACCCCACCGTAGGGAAAAAAACGTGAAAAAAACGTTTAGGATAATATTTAGTTAGGCCCAAACTTATTTAAATCTAGACACCTTGACAGCTATACAGCTAGATACCTAGATGCCTATAGGCACCTAGATAGATAGGCACCTAGATAGCTAAACAGCAAAACAGCTAGATACCTAGATACCTAGATAGGTGCCGTGACAAACTCCTGAAAGACAAACTCCTGAAAGACAAACTCCGGAAAGACAAACTCCGGAAAGACAAACTCCGGAAAGACAAACTCCTGAAAGACAAACTCCTGACGAGACAAACTCCTGACGAGACAAACTCCTGAAAGACAAACTCCTGAAATTATGAAATTTTTCTCTGAATGAAATTTGATAAAATTCATAAACTTTAGAAGAAAAATCCGCAAATATTCTAGTTTGTATTTCAGAATTTTTTATTTTCAGGAGTTTGTCTCGTCAGGAGTTTGTCTCGTCAGGAGTTTGTCTCGTCAGGAGTTTGTCTTTCAGGAGTTTGTCTTTTCAGGAGTTTGTCTTTCCGGAGTTTGTCTTTCAGGAGTTTGTCTTTCAGGAGTTTGTCACGGCGCCACCTAGATAGCTAAACAGCAAAACAGCTAGATACCTAGACGTAAGCTAGACAACTAAAAAATTAGACAACTAGACAGCTAGACAGTAAGACAACTACACAGCTAGACAGTTAGACAGCTAACCAACTAGACCAAAAACAACTAGACAAAAGACAACTAGACAGCTAGACATTAAGACAGCTAGACATTAAGACTGCTAGACATTAGGACAGATAGACATTAAGACAGCTAGCCATTAAGACAGCTAGACAGCTAGACACCAAGACAGCTAGACACCTAGATAGCTAGACAGATAGACACCTAGATAGTTAGACACCTAGATAGTTATATACCTAGATAGTTAGATACATAGATAGCTATACAGCCAAACAGTTAGATAGCTAGGCAACTTGACATTTAGACAATGAGACAACTAGACAACTAGACATCTAGACAAATAGACAAATAGACAACTTACCAACTAGACAACTTACCAACTAGACAACTAACCAACTAGACACCTGGACAACTAGACAACTCGACAACTTTATAACTAGACAGCCTGACAGTTTGACAAATAGACAACTAGACAAATAGACAGCTAAACCATAGAAAGCTAGACAGCCAGACAACTGGACATGATAAATGCTAAATCGGGTTGAATTGAAATCTCTAGAAAAAGAATTCCACGCTTTTTCTTCAGATTCCTCTGCAAATAGGACAAGACAGTTACAAATCTTAGATGTGGGTGGACAATATCCTTCAGGAAATTCTCAGATGTTGGTGGACAATTTCCTTCAGAAAATCTCAGAAGTAGGTGGACAATAACTTTTAGACACATACTAGAAAAGAGTATACATTAAAGACAAAAATTGAAAACAAGTTGTTTAGTGGTTTAAGGTAAAAGTCAACAAAAATTGATGATTAATTTTACAAATTAATGTGAGGAGAGTCTATGATTTCATTATAACACCAATTGTAACTTTTTTTTTAAATTCAGGAGCATTTTTAATCTAAATTTGAAAAATTTAAAAATTCAGATTTTTTAAATGTCACTGAAATTAGGAAGATTAATTGATGTTAGTTCCCATTCACCACACTAACGCTCCATCCCCTTCTCCTTCATGTTTTTTCTTTGTCCCTTCTTTCCCTATTTAACCTTCCCCTTATCAACTCATTTTTCCTCCCTTTTCGCCCCCCTCGCTATCATCATCCTCATCTCTCTCTATGTTATCAGCTTCTCCTCTCCCTCCCTCTTTTTTCCTCTTATCGTGGTCACACTACTCTAAATCCAAGCACAGTATTATGTGGTTAAAAGGTATTTAAACAACGCCATCATGTTTAATTATCTTCAGAATGACAAGAATTTTAAACAAAACTGTACTTGGTCATACCTTATACCCTCACACTGTTAAAAAGGCAACTTTTTTAAAATATTAAATTACCGAAAGCAGTTTAAAATTACGAACATTTTGGTTGAAATTAAAAACAAAATGTTAGAAATATCTCACAAAATTCTATACAGTCATAACCATAAAACTCTGGAAGAGAAAGAGTCCGACACTCAATTTATGACTTTTAATAGTCCATTGAACATCAGGTACATATCAAATATGCAGTGTTAACAGACTCCATTTCATTTAATAAATGATTCAATAACTTTGCAATAGCAATAAATGCACTTCAGTATTGCTTTTATGTCGTCTTCCTATTTAACAATTTTCTGGTTATCACTGTATGCTAAAATTTGTTATAGCGTCAACTTTTCTCAATCTTGCAATGCTTTCTGTAAGTTCTAAATTACGAAAGAAATGTTGTTTTTCTTCTAATTGACAGTGTAGCTCTGCTTGATTCCATGCAGAGTTTATTTTAACAGTGAACACCTTTATACCACACTAGCTTTGGAACTCAGCTTTGCCTTAAAACTAAACTTTCCCTTTAAAAGTCGAGACAACTATTTTAGAATTCAAGTTTCAAGATTTTCTTAGAACAATTTATATCCCCAGCTCTGAGATTTCCAAAATGTGGTCTGCCTTTTTTATGTGATTTCAAAATTACTGTTAAGATATAAAGAATTTTGTTCAGATTTTGACATTTTTTTTTGGTTGAGATATATTGAATGCCGAAAACAATTTTTCCTCTCAAAACGACATTTGATCCGTCCTTAAACGGCCAAGGCGGCGAGAATTTTAAAAATCTAAATATCATAAATTTATATTTCGTTATCCTGTTAAACAATGAAAATCCCAGTGGAGAAGAAATCTTTATGTATTTCCTTGTATTTGATATTTATTATATAAAGTTATTTTTGAAATAAAAATCTTGAACATTTTTAACTTTTGATTAGCAATTGATTTTTTTAATTGTTTAACACTTTAACCTTTTAATAATTATTAATTATTTATTCGATTTGTTTGACTTTATAGTTCTTTGATTAAAAATTAAATGATTATGTTTTTCATTACTTGTTTAGCTTTGATCATCAATCGATTTTTCGATTAGTTAAATGATTATTTAATTTGTTTAACCTTTAAAGCTTTGATAAGGAATTGATTATTCGATTTGGTTAAAATTTTATGCTTTGTTGATATGAAATTGATTATTCAAAATAAACAAAACTTTTTAATTATATTTAACTTTGATTGATCATTCATGATTAACAATTGATTATTTGGTTTGTTTAACATCTTTTAACTTTGATCAGCAATTGATATTTCGATTTCTTTAAAAAATATTTAATCTTGCACTAGCGAATGATCATTTTATTTGTTAAAATTTTTTCTTTGATCAGAAATTGATTTTATTTTTGATTTCTTTAACCTTTTATTAGTTATTGAATATTATATTTGGACATTATTTTAAAAATGATTATTCGTTTTGTCCAGCCTTTTAAGCTTTGATCAGCAATTAATTATTCGAAATATACAACACTTTTTAATTATATTTAGATTTGATTGATCATTCAATTTAATCAAAATCTTAAAGCTTTGATTAGCAATTGATAATTCTTTAGTTGTCCTACCTGTTAAAGCGTTTATTAGATAATATGTTGTACATGGAGTTGAAATAGACATATCTTTTAGTAAGCATGGTCCAAGAAGATTATGAAAAATTGTATTCCAGTTTAAAATAACAACTGGTTCAAATCTTGTAAATTACAATAAGAAAACTATAAAATTGTAGACTGTAGACTGTTGACTGTACAGTACGAACCAGAATGTTGTGGAATAGAAAGACAACTTTTGGACTTCAGTTATGATTTAAATAGTCCAATGTGCAAAGACCACCTAACTGTAAAGAGAGATTTAAAAACTAATAGTAAAACTATTTGTAATTGTATTGTAAGCTTATAAAATACACTTAAATATTGTTTTTTTGTCGTCTTTCATTCCACAGTTTTCTGCTCTACACTGTATACTGTAGTCTATATACTGTACAGTGTACTGCAGTGTAAATTGGAATAAAGAAATATTTTTATTTACAAAGATAGAAATTGCTTTGAGGTTAATGACATTTACGTGAAGATTCGATGAGTAAGATATCTTAGATTGTATTTCGTACTCTAAGATGAAAACTTAGTGAAATGGAAAAAATAAATCAAGTAAAACGGGAAACAAAGGGATAAAAATAGAACGATGGTGGATGAAAAGGGAGGAGTACCGGAGTTAGATTGGAAAATATCTATAATGTTAAAGTTTTATTTTCTTATATGAGTTGTGTGTATGACAAAATGTATCCGGTCCAATCTATTAAAAGTGTATCGCCTCAAACCATGGAAAGTCTGAAAGAAAATTTCCTTCAATTGTTTCCCCCAACCACCGACCTAACTACCTGTGTTCTAAATGTCAAATTTGTGCGCTGCTCTATGCCGGCTTCGCCGCGCATTTTTTCCAGACTATAAAATGGAGGATGACTTGTTGGTAATCATTCAGTGGTCATTTACTACTACTAAGATGATGAAGTCAATCTTCTTTGTAAGTATCTTAATGTTTGCTCTACTTTACTGTTCACACAAGTTCATAAAATCAAATATCCAGTACTTAATAATCTTTAAAATTCAATATTTGTTCGTCAAATTTGAAAGATCAAATATCAAGTTCATGTAAGCTCTTCCAGAAATCAAATACATGTTGTTTTACTCTTAACAGTATCTAGCACTTCATCTCTTATAAAATTCTATTTAATTTTCAGGCTGCCCTTGTGGCTGTTGCTTTTGCTGATGCTGAGCCTAAGGCTGATGCTGACGCAGATGCATACTATGGTGGTTATGGGCACCTTGGATACTCTGGACTTGGATATGCTGGTCTTGGATATGGTTATGGACGTGGAGCTTACGGATATGCCGCACCCTCTGCCTACTCTTATGGAGCTTATGCTGCTCCTTATGCCTACTCCGGATATGGACATGGACTTGGCAAGAGGTCTGCTGAGGCTGAGGCTGAGCCTGAGGCTGATGCCCACTACGGATCTTATGGATCTTATGGATACTCCAATCTTGGATATGCTGGACGTGGATACGGATATGCTGTTCCCTCTGCCTACTCTTATGGAGCTTATGCTGCTCCCTCTGCCTACTCTTATGGATCATACGCTTCCCCTTTCTATGGTGGATACGGACATGGTCTTGGCAAGAGGTCCGCTGATGCTGATGCTGAGCCTGAGGCTGATGCCCACTATGCTGCCTATGGATACAACAGTGTTGCTGCTCCGGTAGCTTACTCTGCTTACTCTGGATATGGAGTCGCTGCCCCCGTTGCTCACCACGCCGTTGCCGCTCCCGTCGCTTCTTACTCTGCTCATGTTGCTGCACCCGTGGCTGCTTACTCTGCTGGATACGGAGTTGCATCTCCCATCTCTGCTTACTCTGCTGGATACGGAGTTGCATCTCCTGTTGCCTACTCATCCGGCTACGGATATGCTTCTCCTCTGTCCTACTCTGCCTACAGACCTAGTTACTCCAGCTACTCCAGCTATGGATCTCCCTACGGTTATGCCGCTTGGTAATTTACCAATCCCTCCAATCAAAATCCACCACCATAAACCACCTACCAGTACCATAAGAAGAAGAAGTTTGAAGTTCTACCACTTAGCAACCACTGAATCTTTCAGTGCCAGCAAATTTATATATTAATTTATGTGAGTTTGATGTGTAGGAAATTGGAATGTTTTGAATAATAAAGTTTTAACTTAGAACTAGAAATTTTACTTTTAATTGAAATATGCTGAAAATTGTTGGGAAAATAATTTCATCATTTTGTTCAAAAAAGTTACAAAACAAAAGTTTATAACTAGCCTCACACTCTTAGAAAACAAGGGTTGCTTATTAAATCTTGGCAAGACAAAGCTTAAAGAAGTAACGTTGTGAATCAGACATGTTTCTCTATAAAAAAGGGTTACTCTGCAGTAGAGACCAGTTAATGTATAAGATTATTGATTTGGTATGGTTTGGTTCTTTTATAATCTCCTGATTCTATTTCTAAAATATTTCTAAAACAAAACAAAGTTTAATCCTGCCAAACCATTTGCAAAAGACAATTTGACAGGAGAGAATTTGCATGCAAATATCTCTATGAAGGTTGCAAAATTTACACAAAGAAGTAAATTCTTCAATTCTTTAAATCAATCTTGTCTACCCTTTCTCCATTTCTCTATTTATGTTTGATGGTTTAAAATTATAAAAAGAAATTGGGTCTTTGCCACAAACTCTAATTTTCTAATTCCTAAATCTTTGCACCCAGTACAAAAAGGAATTGAATATGGATAACTTGAGTCGCACTCTAATTTTCTAATATCTACATATATTTTTGCAACCCAATGTCGTAGACCTTGGCAATTTCAAACTATAAATTCTGTGAGATCAAATAATTTAGTTTCAAAATATCAAAGACTTACACAATCAGGTTGCAAAGATATAGAGATTTGAAAATTAGAGTTTGTGGCAAAGACTCAATTCCTTTAAAGGGACTGTCAGCATAATTTCAAGTAAACCTTCAATGAAAGCGTGGTGTGTCTGATTCACAACGGTACGCTTTAATTACACGTTTATCAGGGCAACAATAAAACATGTTAGATTTTCTTTTTTGTACATTATTATTAATGTATAATTCCGCTAATTGCTTTACTAGAGAAACCTAGGAACTGAAACTAATAAACATGTTTATTGCAACGTTGTGAATCGGACATGCAACTTTTTCAACAGAGGGTCACTTAAATTACGTCGACTATCTCTTTAAAATCAATTCTTTCCACCGTGTTTTCTTAATTTAATCTTTCTCCAAGAACCTCATCCTCCCCCCATATATCCCCCCATATATTCCCCCCCCATATAT